GCCAGGGCTGACTGTGGGAACGGACGGGGAGGGGGCGGGTACAGCTGGCTCTGCCTCTAGATAGGCAGAGCCAGCTGTCACTCACGCAGCTGGGCGGATCCAGGCATAATTGTCGGGATCGGCTGCGGCGTCTCAGTATACGGCGAGCTGTAGCTCCCTATATACTGAGCTTAGGGTGACGGGAGGATGCTAGTTTGTGTCCTCCCGTGACCCTAAGGAGAACTATGGGGAAAAGCCCTGACCTCGTAGTTCTCCTTTAAACAATAACAACTGGGTGGAGTCGGCCGTGACATCGCGGCCGGCTCCGCCCAGTTGTTATTCATTGGCCGGGACCTGCTAGAAGACTCTGGCAGGTGCAGGTGCAGGCCAATAGGAAACAGTTGGGCTAGTCACTGCTAGCTCCGCCCCAATTTTTTTTTTTTATAATTTTTTTTTAAAGCTTTATTTTTTTATTTAACGATTTATTTACATTTTTTTATTTTTTTTTTTTAATCAGTGTTTTCACTCACTGCCGCACGGCCCCCATCTGAATATATGTGAATAGGGGAGGACGGCAGCGAGCGAGCTGCCGGAGCTTCGGCTCAGCCGATCCAGACGTTGTATACATACGCTGAGTCGAAGTCCTTCTGCACTTTGGCTCAGCTGACCGATGTACGGCGGCGATCAGCCATACAAGCCAGAAGTGAATAGCCGAATCAGCGTTGGGCTCACCTCACTTCAGGTGGGTTATTCGCTCGGCTGCCTCGGGCCCCTACGTGAATAACCACCTTTAGTTTCCCAGCGCCAGCTGGACTTATAACGAGCCGAGGTCGGCCATGTTGCATCCGAGAGATCCCAACCACGAAGACTTCGATGGAAAGGAGGAGCTGGCAATGACACGAAATGAAAGGCCGACCCATCCGAGGAGCCGAATGACTAGAAAAACAGCAACCGCCCCGATCTCAGGTTCATTCATTAATAATTAAGTATATATGCCTCCAGATCATCCCAACTGAGAGAACACGGCACAGACATTGTGGGAGGGGCAGAGACACAAACTACTGGGGGGAAATCTCACCATTGTGGGAGGGGCAGAGACACAAACTACGGGGGGAAATCTCACCATTGTGGGAGGGGCAGAGACACAAACTACTGGGGGAAATCTCACCATTGTGGGAGGGGCAGAGACACAAACTACTGGAGGAAATCTCACCATTGTGGGAGGGGCAGAGACACAAACTACTGGGGGAAATCTCACCATTGTGGGAGGGGCAGAGACACAAACTACTGGAGGAAATCTCACCATTGTGGGAGGGGCAGAGACATAAACTACTGGGGGGAAATCTCACCATTGTGGGAGGGGCAGAGACACAATCTCCCTCCGTCTGCAGTGTATAATGAATGGCTGGTGGAAGAGCTGGAAATATTGATTTTGTTACTTGAAATCCCAAAGAGATCTAAGGCCTGGTTCACACCTGACCGTTTTGTAGTGCGTCCTACGCTCGATGAACGCACTACAAAACGGCCCACGCATGAAAAGGTCCCGAAGCGTTTTTGCTGCGTATTGGTCCGTTTTGTAGCGCGTTAGTGCCCATAGACTTCGACGGGAACGGACGAAATCACTGAAATCGCGCATAGAACGTGCGTTCCACACATGTCTACAGAAGACCACTCCCCCAGAGAGCTGTTGGAGAAGCATGCTCTCTGCAAAAAATCCGACACACACAACACAAAGGTCTTTTTAATACAGGAAAGGGAAATGCTGCGTCTCAGGAAGTCTTTTTCATTGGACGCTTGTGGAAAAACAGGAATTCTTCTTCATTGGATACCTCTGTTGTCGCTTCAAAACGCGCGTGCAACGCGCGTTTCTAATGTAAAAAAACGCACTAAAAACGCACATGAAAACGCGCCAAACTCCGGGAAGAAAACGCGCGTGTGACGCGCTTATGCAATACGCACAGGTGTGAACCAGGCCTAAGACTCCGGTAAGTAATTAAAGGAAAACAAACAACAGACTGGACACAAACCATAATCAGTTGTATTGATTTGTTTTACTAAAAATATATATTTGTGTAAGAAAATAATAAATTATAATGAAATCATATACAATATATACAGAGGTGCAGTCACTTCATCTACAATAATACTCTGTAGTTTTGCTTAGATACGTTTTTGGGGGGAAATGACACAAAATATTGAAGGATTTGTCAACGATGTGCAAATGAACAAAACTTGTACAAGAATCGTGTCGGGAGGATGACGATGGGGTATGGGACGGAAGAGGGTGTTGTAAGAAGATATTACCACCTTTCAGGTGTCCGGGTCAACCGAATATGTTGCTAAATATTAGGGATGCACCGATACCACTTTTTTAAGACCGAGAACGAGTACCGATACTTTTGATCAAGTACTCGCAGATACAAATTACCGATACTTTTTCTTAAAGGGACAGGTCACATTTTTTCTGAAGCAATACAAACTAATGCTTTAAGGTCACTTTCTTAATATTATGATTCATGAGATGACGAGGGAGCGTGACGCCGGCATTATGTAACCGGACATCCCGAGAACCGTTATTGTGCGTGCTTGTGCTGTGCGTTATTGTGCGAGGCCAGCTCATGACTAACTAAGGAGATGCAGGGGATGCCTCTTTCTGGAGCCCATTCCACCCTTTCCCTCCATGCATTTCTTGTACATGTTTTCCGACACCCTAGTGAAGGCATGTGCTCTATAAAATACAACACTTAAAGGAGAACTATGAGGCGAGTGAAAATCCCTTATCCTCATAGCTCGAGCCGACCTGTGACAATGAAACTGACACACGTCAGCTCAATAGATCGAACACATACCGTCGCTCGCTCACTTCTCGATCATCTCCCTGCAGAGAGCAGTGACTGTCACTCACGGCTCCCTACAGGAATTCCCCGCGCCGTGACAGGGGAGGGGCTGGATTCCCCCCTCCCCTCTCCGATCTGCCAGCGCTGACTGGCGGAACGGACGTGGGAGGGGGCGGGGACAGCTGGCTCGGCCTCTGGATAGGCAGAG